TAATATATATAATATAATAATAATTTGGATTTGAGTATAGTAACAACTACTGGGAACAGCAGGTTGAGAAGGTTCTGGAAAATGAAAAAGTCAAGATCTTGTGGGACTTCAGAATTCAGACGGACAGGCATTTGGCCCACAACAGGCCTGACATAACAATAGTTGAGAAGAAAAGGGTTTGGTTCATTGACATTGCAATACTTGGTGATACATAAATTGTAGACACACAGCAAGAAAAAAATCACAAAGTATCAGGACTTACAAATTGAAGTTGAGAGACTTTGGAAAAATAAATCGTGTGTTATCCCAATTGTAATTGGCACCCTTGGAGCAATACCTAAAGAGCTGCCTCGCTGTTTGGAACTCCTGACTTTATCAGACTTGAATACCCTGATTCTACAAAAAACCACCCTACTTGGAACAGCTTATATCCTCTGATGCTACCTGAACAGTTCCTAGGTCCTTGGTTGGGCCTCGAGCTGTTGAGCTACCAACCAGCCCCAAAGGCTGTTAATCTCACTAAAGATTAAATAGTAACAACAACAACAATAACAATAATAATAATAACCTCGGTTCTTTGCACTAATAGGTATACGCTGACTCATTTCTCACTGCAATCAATATCATTTTGGCACATAGGTTTTTCTCTCCCCTCCCCCAAATTGCTTTCTAAACAGATAGGTGTTTTCTCTGAGTTAGTTCACAGAGAACATGCATTTTAAAAAGTGATGTACAGAGATGTTTGTCATTTTAAATAGTCTTTTTTGGAATCAGATAATCTTTGATTTGCAACAGTTCATTTAGTGACTGCCCGAGGTTACAACAGCACTGTAAAAAGAATCTTATGACCGTTTTTCAGTAACGACATTTGCAGCATCTCCATGGTTACATGATCAAAATTCAGACGCTTGGCACCTGCTTCATATTTATGACCGTTGCTGTGTCCCAAGATCACATGATCCCCTTTTGTGACCTTCTGACAAGCCAAAGTCAATGGTGCCACCGGATTCACTTAACAACCGGGTTACTCACTTACCAACTGCAGTGATTCACTTAACAATGGAGGCAAGAAAGGTCGTAAAATGGGGCAAAAGTCACTTTACAACAGAAATTGTAGGCTCAATTGCAGTCGTAAGTCGAGGACTACCTGTTGTTATTTCTTTATTGTGTACAAGTAATCCTTGACTTATTGATCACAACTGAGTGCAAGTAAGGAAGCGAGTAAGGAAGTGAGTTTTGCCCCGTTTTACGAACTTTCTTGCCATAGTTGTTAAAGGAATCGCTGCATTTGTTAAGTTAGTAACACCATTGTTAAGTGAATCTGGCTTCCCCACTAACTTTGCTTGTCAGAAAGTCACAAAAAGGGGATCGCATGATCCTGAGATACCACAACCGTCGTAAGTACGAGTCAGTTGCCAAATTTTGATCACGTGACATTGGGGGTGTTGCAATGGTCGTAAGCGTGAAAAATGGTCCTAAGTCACTTTTTTTTCAATGCTGTCTAACTTCAAATGGTTACTGAATGAACTGTTTTATAAGGAGGGGACTACCTGTATCTGAATAGGCCAGATAGGCTTAGAAACCTTGTTCTGGTAGACAGTAATCTCCACATAATTAATTGAAACCTTACATACTAACCAGGATAAGACATTCACACCACTCAGATGTTTATTTTATTCATTTATTTATTTAATTAATTTTGTCAAATGCTTACAATATAAGAATAAACATAAGTTTAAATATAAGAAATAGGAACTAATAATTGGGGACAATAGGACAGGGATGGTAGGCATGATTGTATGCCTATGCGCGCCCCTTAGATATACTAGACCAGAACTGAGAAAACGTAGATGAAAAATCCTATAAATTTTATCTTGATCTAGTTTTTCTCTCAAGTTCTACAAGGTTATGAGAATGAAAGTATAAGGTCAGATTTAAAGAATAATATATACCTTTTAATAATAAGAAAATAGATATTAACTATGGTAATGTAAATTGTTTGCCTGTCTTGTACCTTTGGCTATAATTCATGGCTTTGGGGTAGACGTCTATTTTAGGAAGAAAGACCAGGGAAAAAAAAGTAATGGATTATTCATCATAAAATATTCTTCTTCTCTAATTACCACTAATGGTAATATATTTAACTGAAAATCAGGCAGTACACCACTTCAGCAAGGACTTTATAAACTACAGGTTTACAAGAAACGGTAGTAAGCAAAAATTCTAAGATTGAAAACAGTACTGGAGGTTTAATAAATCTGTGAGAAAAACTTTTAGCACTCCCCAATCCTTTAGCCCTGATCCAAAATACACATTTATCAAGAAGTTTTAAATGGCACTCCAGAGTGGAATGATTTAATGAAGCTGTGTTTGTTGGACACACACCAAACCACAAACCATCTAACTGCAATTTAGCCCGACCTGTTATGCAAATTCAGCCCACCATAGGTTCGTTTGTTCATAAACCTGGGTTGTAAACCATGAATCAGAAAAGTATGGGTTAATCAATGCATCTAATGACCTAGCTTTAGGCTTGATCACTAAGCTTTAATGCAAACAATCAAGATCAAACATTTGCCTATAATATATGATGATAAATTAGCAAAGCCTTGATTGGCAATTCTCTTGCTCTTACCTTGTACCTGTGTAGAAAGATTACAGAATCTATGGCTCTGTAGTTACCATGTTTAGTATAGTAATGACTATCCTTGTATACCTTTCTATATACTAATGGTTATTATCCTTGTATAATATATACTGTAATATTCATACACAGACAAACTGAGCATAATCTTTGATGAAATGAATTGTAATCCATCGCATTACAGTATGTCACAATTAGGGCTAAAGTATATGCAACCTCCATCTCTCTCTCTCTCTCTCCCTCCCTGAGAACTGGAATATGATAGAAGAGGCTAGCCACATGCCAGAACATATAAAATGATTCAGATCAAATTTGACCAGTCCCCCAAACTGAAAAGCCAGTCATTCTAGGGGGCAGGTAGAAGGTCTCTAGCATTGCCAGTTCCTAATCCAGCATGCTAGTAAAAACAGATGTACATTTCATTCTTATTTTCCATCAATGTCTTCTAGGGAGGGATGCTTGTAAATGAAAGACAAGAATGCACCCAGACAAAGGCAGGGCAGTGGTATAGTTGCCTCAGTTTTAATTATTGGGCCTTCCAAGTTTAAAAATACTAGTATCACATGCATATGAAATGGCTGCTTTCTTAAGACCTTGGACTGCAATCATCCAAAGACAACTCTGGGTCTTGTGAATTCCTGGGACACTTTACACAGGTCATTCTGTGTATGTGACATGTGTGTGGGGGGGGGAGGTTGTCTGTCTTAACACCTGGGCCTGAGGGGCACTTGCCCACAGGCCCCACCAGCATCAGGGCCCCATACTAATCTGTGTATGTTAAGCCTTCAATGCACCTTGTATCGTATAAATACAGCAACGTGTTTATTACATCTTACTGCATTTTTAAAATTAATACTAACATGCAAATATGTTTAATTTTATCAACCACTTACATTTTTAGGCCTGTGAGTAGTTGTGGTAGGGGCCCATAATGCTATTAAGATGGCCCTGAGGGAGGGAGAAGTGGGAGAGAGATCGCCTGGGCAGTAATTTATTTCCTTGGGACTCGCCTTATTTTCTAACAATTCTGTGTCCCTTACTAAGGGGGGGGGGCTGAAGCAGTGGTGGGATTCAATTTTTTTTACTACTGGTTCTGTGGGCGTGGCTTGGTAGGCGTGGCAGGGGAAGGATACTGTAAAATCCCCAGTCAGAGGTGGTATTTGCAGGTTCTCCAAACTACTCAAAATTTCCGCTACCGGTTCTTCAGAACTGGTCAGAACCTGCTGAATCCCACCTCTGGGCTGAAGGCTTGTCAAACCCAAGCAGGGGCGGGAGAGGGAAGGGAATGTCTTTCCATGAAAAAATCCAGAAGCCACAGTGGATTTTTTTTCACAATTGCAGATTTCATCCCTTCAGTTCTCTCACTGTTCTTGGGGCTTTTGAGTGTGTGTGTGTGTGTGCGTGTGCACACAGGAGCGTGGTACAAAATGCTCTTTTGGAGTCTCAAAAAATGATCCCTCAGTTCCAGGCAGATCCAAGCGGCGAGGAATGAATAAACAGGGTTGGAAAGCCAACCAACTATTGTTGTTGTTAGTTGCGGTCGTGTCCGACCCATTGCGACCCCCTGGACAACGTTCCTCCAGGCCTTCCTGTCCTCCACCATCCCCCAGAGTCCATTTAAGCTCAAGCCGACTGCTTCAGTGACTCCATCCAGCCACTTCATCCTCTGTCATCCCGTTCTTCTATTGCCCTCAATCTTTCCCAGCATTGGGCTCTTCTTCAGTGAGTCCTTCCTTCTCATTAGGTGGCCAAAGTATTTGAGTCTCATCTTCAGGATCTGGCCTTCTAAAGAGCAGTCAGGGTTGATCTCCTCTAGGACTGACCGGTTTGATCACCTTGCAGTCCAAGGGACTCGCAGAAGTCTTCTCCAGCACCATAGTTCAAAGGCCTCAATTCTTTTGCGCTCAGCCTTTCCTATGATCCAACTTTCACAGCCATACATTGCAACTGTCCTTTTGGAAAAGGTAACCCTGGATCATTCCCAAAGGCTAAGCTTTCTCCCGTGGGCGGAGCTTCCCTGCCCTCCTTCTCCTGTGAGGGCAGGCTGGGGTAGATCTGCCATTTTTCCTCCACTTACAAAGTTTGGGGACGGACCAGGGGTCCTCCAAACTTGGCAAAGCTGGCTGGAGAATTCTGGGAGCAGAAGTCCACAAGTCTTCAAGTTGCCAAGTTTGGAGACCTCTGCAAAAGGCCAATGAAATTCGCGCGGCTCCTTTAAGGCCGCCCAGTTCCGACTGGGCAGGAGAGCTGGGCCTGCACCCTTTGTGAATGGAGGGGGGGGGGGGCGGAGCCACGCCGAGCCCCATATAAATAGAGCCGGGCGGGGCGAGGCGCGCCCAGTTTCCCAGCTGCTGATGATCGGCGTGTAGGAGAGAGCTGCTCTCCTTGAAGGTCGTCCGTTGGGTGGGAGCTCCAAGGCACAGTCGCAGCCATGCGTGAGATCGTGCATATCCAAGCCGGCCAATGCGGGAACCAGATTGGAGCCAAGGTATCTTTTGGGCGGGGGGGGGGGGGGGGGGGTGGGGGGGGGGGGGGGGGGAGGGGAGAAGCTTCCATTGTTGTCAGCTTTGCTGCTCTCCAAAGAAAAAAAATGAATTCTAGCTCCTCCTGAGCTGAGGAGAATGGATATTGTAGTCCAAGGCTTCTGGAGCGGGTTGGGGGAGGGGTCGTCGCCTTGTCAATTTTGGGCGGGGGAACCACTAACGCGATTTCTGTCCGATTTGGGGGGGGGGGGGGAAGGGGGGCAGAGGGGGGGGGGGGGGGGGGGGGGGGAAAGAGGCGGAAGTTGCTGCGCTTGTAATAAATTCTATATAGTGCCACCTTTAATGCGGAGGAAGGGAAAATAATTTAATCTGAAAAACGAGCTCAACCACTGAAGAGGCGCTTTTTTAATGATTTTTTTTTCCTCTCCTCTTCAAAATCTCGGAGGCTTCTGCCATGCTCGCCTCTCTCCCTCCCTGCATCTTCTCAGGAGAAAGTGCGTCTGTTTGGAGACAAAGACACACACATTTCTTCCCCTGGTGGGGCGGGGGAAAGAAGCGAGCCTTTTATTAGTAAAACGAAAATGATCTTTTCAGCCCCGTAGTGACGAGGTGGCTTAGCTGGGAACCTGGCTCAGTTTTAATAACAGCCTTTGAGTGCCTCACCCCGTTTTCAGAGGATTGAAACCTGGATAAGAGGTGGCCTGCCACAAAGGGTGTGGGGTTGGCAGACAAATTCTCTCCTCCATAAAGGGAGCGGAAGAGAAAAAGCCCAAACCACCCAAGTATATATAGCCTTCATTTCTTGGTTAGGGGGTGGTGGATAATGATGCAATTCTAGGTGGTTTTTAGCCATTGCCACAGCTGTAGTGCTGCAAATGCCTGTTATAACAGCCCCTTTTTGTAAGGTTAAAGCTGCACTTGGCCACGACCAAGCAAATCCCAGTCCGGAGGTGGGCATGGCTGCAGAATGCGGCTAAGGTGTGGCTGCAGCACGTGTAGGTGCAGCTTTGGTGGTGTTTTAAAAGAAGCAGTGAATAACTCTCTCACACACACCCAAAATCCCATTCCAGTTCTGGGAGGTTATCAGCGATGAGCACGGCATCGACCACACCGGCAGCTACCACGGAGACAGTGACCTGCAGCTGGAGAGGATCAGTGTCTACTACAATGAAGCAGCTGGTAACCCCTTTCTGTCTCTTGCTGTTTTTGAAATGTTTGGAGGTGGTTTTTTTTGTTTTTTGTTTTGTAAATGCCGTGGTAGGCAGTAGAAATCAAGCAAAACAAACCTACACGGGGTGGGTCTGGAACAGTCACCTTATCTGAATTGTATACCTTGATTAAAAAAAAACAGCACATAATTGTGCTGCTTTTGGCTTGTTCCTCTTTTAAGATATGACTGCTTCTGATTGCATTGGGAGAAATGGGGATATTTTAATCCACCCCAACCTCCAGATTAAAATTGAGGAAATAAGAGTGATCTTGTCAGGCACTAAGGGAAAGCCAAAGCTATATTGGGCAATGATGGGCAGAAGTGTCTTTGACTTCCTGCTTTTAAAAGCTTTAATATCCTATTCCTTCCAACATGTAGCCTATGGTCTGCCTTCAGCAGGTCTGCCAAATCCTCCCCTGCTTCTGTCTTAGAAGTTGGTGCAGAAGGTGAGAATAGGCAGTCCAGATTGACACTTTTCCTCTGCAGGATTGCAACTTTTACTAGCAATCGTTTATCCAATTGGGAATTGTTAGTAATAAGACAAAATTTGAATTTTTATAACAAAGCAAGTAAAAGAAGCTCACAGATCAAATTTTCTGAGTCTACTTGCATGCCATGAATGAACCAGACATCGGCTTCTCCAGGAACAAACTCGGCTTTCCAGGCCAGCAGTACCCAGTGGCTGAAACTCTCACTTGGTCATTCTTGTTTCAGTTCTCCAGTGGGAAAGACTGCTACTTTATTTTATTTTTCTCCACAAAGCAAATGCCAATGCTGTGGTTAGGCTTAGCCCAAGAACAAGGAACAATCCAGTTAGAGTTTAGTTCTTTATTTGCTTATACACAATAAACAGAATCTTGCCAGAGTAAATGTATGTTGTTCTCATCCTAATGGATATACCTATTAGGGAGATTCTAGGGAGTGGCTGTCTCACTCTGTCTCCTATCCAGCTCCAGGCTGTGCTGCCTCTTCTCTCTGCCCTCACCCTTCATGGCTTTGGAATGGGCCCCCTCCTTCCTGGGAAACTTTTGCTTCACTGTAGTCCATCACACCACCTTCCACTCCTCAGGAACCATCCCTCATGGCTGCCATTGTGGGCTGCCCAAGCTGCCCCTCCCTTCATCTTTTTGTGATTTTCACCATTCCTCCTCTTGTGTAGGCCATGAAAACAACTAAGGCAGATGAGAATCTCTAAGAAGGTTTACCTTTTTCTGGAAATAAGAATAAACTGACTCCTTTATAAGTAATTGGCAGGCCATGAGAATTTAATTTAGACTCTTTAGGGTCATATTTAATTTTCTCTGGCTTGGTTAAGACTTAATTTCAAGTCTTAATTTTATATAGGGCAGGAAATCCCTGTGGAATTTTGGTGAGGTTATGATATCATTTTTAACAAGATTTCAGGATAGTCTTGGAACATGTTCTATGTAACTAAATGGTAACAAATCCAGAGTATTTTAAAACTAAATCAACTCTGTTGTTCCCTCCTGGCAATTGCCTGGACAAGTCCCTGCAGTTCTCTTGGCAAGATTTTGAAAGTGGTTAGCCTTCCTTCCAAGGGCTGAGAAGGAGTAACTGGCCCAAGATTACTCACCTGGCTTTGTGCTTAAGACAGAATGAAAAGCCTGTTTTTAACTTAAACAAAAGTTTTTAGCCTGTTTCTTAATCATTACGCCAAACAAGAGTTTCAAAGTTGACTTAGTAAGTTTTAATAATCATAGCTATTCCATGTGAACCATGGAAATTACGTGATGTTGGAGTTAAGAGATTCTAAAAGGTCCTTGGTAATCTGTGGAATGTTTGTTCATAGACTTCCATAAAAATATAGTGGAATGTTGCATTTCTGTAGGCGTCAAGGGGAAAAGGTGAATGCTATTTGACTGTATTATGCTCAAAGGCCATACAGCTAGTCCTTGACTTATGACCACAATTGAGCCCAATTTTTTTTGTTGCCAAGTGAGACATTTGTCAAGTTTTGCCCAATCAGAAAACCTTTCTCACCAGTCATTAAGTGAATCACTGCAGTTAAGTTAGTCACACATGATTAAGTGAATCTGGCTTCCCCATTGACTTGGCTTATCAGAAAGTCACAAAAAAGGTGATCCCATGACCCCGGGGAAACTGCAACCATCGTAAATTCGAGTCAATTGCCAAGCGTCTGAATTTTGATCACAGGACTATGGGGATGCCGCAACAGTTTTTAAGTGCGAAAAACTATCATAAGTTACTTTTATTCAGTGCCAGTGTAGCTTTGAACAGTCACTAAACAAACTTGTACTTCGGCAGTGCAGCACATGTTTAGCATGAGAATTTCCCTTCACACTTTTTGTGATGTTGAGGTAATAGGGACAAAGCACGCTGCTTGAATTTATGAAGAGCTGCAGCTAGCCAACCAGTATGAACCTGTAACAACAGACTGCCTGAACTAATAAGGAACAGCTTTCTTATGTATTGTATGAGCCACCAGTTGGAGAAATTATGATAGAATTGGTTCATCCATTAAGCCAAGGGTCCTCAAATTGGCAAGTTTAAGACTTGTGGGCTTCAACTCCCAGAACTCCTGAGCTAACATGATTGGAGGAGGAATTCTGGGAGTTTGAAGTCCACAAGTCTTAAAACTGTCAAGTTTGAAGACCCTTGCATTAAGCTATGAGCTACCAGTCAAACTGTGTGAATAGATCTATCTAGATCTAACGTTAAATAGGGCCCAGTTATCTTGAGTGCTGTGTCTGGAATGGGCCATTAGACATGGCAAATGAGAATGTAGATAAAAGGAATGTTCTTTCATATCCAAACAACAGAAAGTTCACAGGGAAAATTATAATACAGATTGAGGTTAGCCTTCAGTGCCTTCTGCATGTCAGCATTTTCATGAAGGGGGATTTAATCACACAAATTCTGGTATGTGTGAAATGTGGATCTGGTGATTCTGTCCTTCAGACTGTCGCACTTCTGTGAACATTTGAGATTTCACTATTGTGACTAAGACAGCCTTTGGAACCCACTTCCCTTCCTTTCCCAATCAGTTGTTTTTTTCCCCCTCCCCTTTGCAGTAGAGGAGAAGATGAAGATGAAAAGTTCTCCCATTTCAAACACTTTGGAGATGCAGTTTTGTTTCTGTGCACATACAATATAGATCAGGGGTCTCCCAACTTAGCAACTTTAAGACTTGTGGACTTCAACTCCCAGAGTTCCAAGAGTTAAGTTCACAAGTCTTAACGTTGCTAAGTTTGGAGATCCCTGGTATGGATACAGGGGCCATAATATGATGCAAGCTGGTGCAGGAAACTTAAGGGAATATTAATTATGGCTGGTGTGTTTGTTGTACTTTCAGAGTGAGATTTTAAAAACTCTGTTCCACAAAAGGATTACTTAATGCCGTCCTTTAAAATGTTGAAGTCACCAAGGGTACTGTAGTCGGGAGGTATTTTATTAGGCTGTTAGATAAGGCTAACTTTTGTTCTTCCTCACAGGAAATAAGTATGTTCCCCGGGCAATCCTCGTTGACTTGGAGCCGGGCACAATGGATTCCGTCAGGTCTGGCCCTTTCGGCCAGATCTTTAGACCTGATAACTTTGTCTTTGGTATGTAATACTAATTATGTTTTTCTCCGATTATATCTTAAATAGCTGCAGCATAATACGTACTATTCGATTTGTTCTAAGTCAGAGGCAGGCACTATGTGTCCCTAAGTGTTGCAAAATTTAAATTTCAAGCAGTCCTGATCAGCCTGGCCTCAGCTGCTAGGAACACTAGACAGGCATGATATTCTTCCGATTAAAATCGGAATTCCGATTTTTTTGGGAATCGCCCCCTCCTTTCCCCCCACCCCTTCTTCTCCTCCTTCCCCTCCCCTCGGAGGCCCCGAGTCAGGAGTTGCTGGCGCGGCTCCGCGCGGCTCCAGTCCCGCGTTGCCTCAGGAAGGGAAAGGCAAAAAGGAAGAGCCGCAGCGGTGCTTTGAAACGGCAGCAGCGGCTCCTGGTTTTGCCTTTCCCTTCCCGAGGCAACGCGGGACTGGAGCCGCGTGGAGCTGCGCCGGCGGTAGCAACTCCTGACAGCCCCAGCCGGATACCTGAGCGGAGCCCGGGCGGTGCGAGCGGAGGCCGCTGAACGGCAGGAAAAGGGAGCTGGGCCAGCCACAGACCAGCCTCCATGCAACACGCCGCCGCCCGGCCCTGGCGAGGGAAGGCAGCGGGCGCTCCCCGGGCGTGCGGTGGGGGGTCTCTTTTGGCCAGCCCCGATTTTTTTTTCAAAGCGGAATATCATGCCTGACTAGAGCAGCCCCACCTGGAGGCTTTCCCTTCCTCTCAAGGGTGTAAAACTTGCGGCCCACGGGCTGGATGCGTCATGCGCTAGCCATGCCCACGCCCAGTTGAGCAAAGGGGGGGAAAAGTCACAATACGACATGTGATTACGACATGCTTTACATGCATCTTATAGTACTAATGAAATATATAAAAATGTGCCATTTGTAAGATCCATTGATCAGTTCAGCCTCTGTTGTATAATCGTAACCGAAATGAGCATCACTGCCAAAATAACAAAAAGATGGTATAACTACTACAGCCTAAGTAATAAGATCTCCACATTCGCTATTTGATGAATATTCTCCCTGATCCATTTCTAATCTTTTTGCTTCAAATTACAAAATGTGGGAGATCTCCAAAATTTTGTCTCTTGGACTAATGTCCTCCACTCTTTTCTCCTGTATTGAATGCAGCTATTTCTCATCTCTGCATGCTACAGATGTAGGAATGAATAAATTGACTTTTCCTGGGCCAGATGACAAATTTAGCTTGGATTGAATTTGGCCCATAGATCAAACATGAATATTACTTTAGCATTCCTGGCGTGTAAATGGTTTTGTAAGCATCTCTTTTCTTTCTAATGATTCCTCTAGGCCAGAGTGGCGCTGGGAACAACTGGGCCAAGGGCCACTACACAGAGGGAGCTGAGCTAGTGGATTCGGTGCTGGATGTAGTAAGGAAGGAGTCTGAAAGCTGCGATTGCTTGCAGGGCTTCCAACTCACCCACTCGCTGGGTGGGGGCACTGGGTCTGGCATGGGAACCCTTCTCATCAGCAAGATTAGGGAGGAGTACCCCGATAGGATCATGAACACCTTCAGTGTAATGCCATCTCCAAAAGTGTCAGACACCGTGGTTGAGCCATACAACGCCACCCTCTCTGTCCACCAGTTGGTAGAGAACACGGATGAAACCTACTGTATTGACAATGAAGCGCTGTATGACATCTGCTTCCGCACATTGAAACTCACAACTCCAACTTACGGCGATCTCAACCACTTGGTGTCTGCCACCATGAGTGGAGTAACCACCTGCCTCCGGTTCCCCGGCCAACTGAACGCAGATCTTCGTAAGCTGGCGGTCAACATGGTGCCTTTCCCTCGTCTTCACTTCTTCATGCCCGGCTTTGCTCCCCTGACGAGTCGCGGCAGCCAACAGTATCGTGCCCTGACGGTCCCAGAGCTGACGCAGCAGATGTTTGATTCCAAAAACATGATGGCGGCCTGTGACCCCCGCCACGGCCGATACCTGACGGTGGCAGCCATCTTCCGGGGCAGAATGTCCATGAAGGAGGTGGATGAGCAGATGCTAAATGTCCAGAACAAGAACAGCAGCTACTTTGTGGAGTGGATCCCCAACAATGTGAAGACGGCCGTTTGCGACATTCCTCCCCGAGGCCTGAAGATGTCTGCCACTTTCATCGGCAACAGCACCGCAATCCAGGAGCTCTTCAAGAGGATCTCAGAGCAGTTCACAGCCATGTTCCGGCGGAAGGCTTTCTTGCACTGGTACACTGGCGAAGGCATGGATGAGATGGAGTTCACGGAAGCCGAGAGCAACATGAATGACCTGGTCTCTGAGTACCAGCAATATCAAGATGCTACTGCAGATGAGCAAGGAGAGTTTGAGGAGGAAGGAGAGGAGGATGAAGCTTAGAGGTTGAGTAGGGTTAGTCCATAGGCAAGTGTCCAAGGTGAGGGCTGTTCAGCTGTATGAGTGCATGCTTTTCCAGTTATTCTTGGTGCTTTTTTCCCAGTGTTGCCTGTCAGCAGTTTTTGGACCCTGCTCTATTATTGTAATATTTATGCACTGGCAAGATGACTTAATTAGGGAGATACAAATCGTATTAAATTTTGAAGTTGAACTCTTCATCAACAATGCTGGTAGTAGGACCAGCTCCACACTATATATTAAAATCTTAAGAATAAACTTGATTCATGATTCATGCAACTATAGATTCTGCACCCTTAATTGGTATTTAAGATAATTCTCAAGGAAAATTCCTGCAGGCATTAAAAATTTATTAAAGAGAGATGTTATAATACTTTATCTAAATCAAGAAAGAGATTTATGGAGTGCTTTGCAAACAAAGCTGCTCTAGATTGATTTTTTTTTAGATGTGTTGTAATATGCAATTCCCAGATTTTCTAGACAGCACAAGATTTTCTTTCATGGGAACAGTAGGATCTACAGTCCCCACACTTCTGAAGGGGATTTCATTGGAGAAGGCTTGAGTATCCCTAGTTACTGACCATTTATCTTGCTTCAGCTGGAAAGGCAGTAATCAAGGAAGATCTGTAATAGGTTTCTCTACCAATTAGAGTAAGCAGAAATCTTTTTTTTTTTGGTCTACCCCATGAAATATTTTTGCACATGCTAAAGAATATTCTACACAATTGCAGAGGCAGTAGGTAAGCTTATTTTGATTAGGTTTTCCTCGTCTTGTGCTTTCACAAGAATACCCACTGGATAGAATTGTTTAAAGTTGCAATTAGAATTCTGGGTGTAACTTGTAACACTTTGTGATTCGAACTGATCATTTCCAACTTTTGGGATCAGGGTCCTCAAAAGACACAGGTATTGCAACAACTGGATTCTAAAACTATTTTTTTTGTAACACAGGAAATCATTGGCTTGTAAAGTTAGGAGCTTTATTCCCTCTCACTTTAAGAACCAAGGTGGGGTTTTTTTCAATATTCAGAATCACTATGTTCCAAATCATGTCTGCAGCCTTTTTCTTTAAAAAAAATAAAACTCTTTAAGACTTTGAGGCAGAAACAGGCACACTTGCAACTAGAATACTAGTAGAGCAGGCACGAATTCAGACGGCTGGGATTGAGCATGTTTTCTGTGGCACTGTCTTCTTACGTTGCTTCCTTTCGTGCATTGTGTAAAGTCTTCAAGAATGTCTGCAGTAAAATTCTACAATAGCTTTTGTGTGGTGTTCAATGTTGAGGCATGCATTTTGGATAATGACTTCTGTTTGTGCTTTTCTTCAAGATTGAATCTGGGCAATAAAAGTATTTATTGAAACTTATGCGGCCCCCTTAATATTTTTACAAAGCTTTTGAGAAAATAATCCTGTTTTTAGCAGTTTTTAATCATTTTCCATGTCCCATGGGGAATTATTGGCATACATCCGTTTTGCCACCATTTGCAGAAAAGATGGGTAGGGCACGGAAATTCCCTTGTCACACTCTTTCTGTCTTAAGAATACAGTTCCCTGTTGCCAGTTTCAGCTGAACTATACCAATCTCAGGAACAGCAAAGAAGTAGGTGCTTTACACTAGAAATTCTTCTACCATTTTGTTAAACTCTTCTGCAAACCGTAGATGTAAATTGTGTTTTCCTTCAGGCATAAAATGCAACCTGCAACGACAAAAGGTTGAATAGGTTAAAGTATACCAAGGAAACGGGTACCAGCTGACCTTAACTTGCTGTTTTCCAAATGACATTAAAATTAGAAACGGCAGCCCATGGAAATCCTGCTTTGTCATTCAAGGCGTTGCGAGTTCTAGCACACTAAGGGAACACTGGGTTGGTAAAGATTACTGTACACACTTGTATAGAGATGGAGAAATAGGCTGATGCAATAGAAACAAACCAGTGGAGAAACAGAAATATATGATCTGAAGCCAACTCCTAGAATACTCTGAGCTAAGGCCTGATCATTTCTTTAGGCCTCTGTAAGTACGGGTATTGCAATAGAACTAATCTGTTTTGAAGAACCTAAATGAGAGTTTATGGCTGATTTTAACTCCTAAAGGAAACACTGAATGAACAAATGTTGCTTTCTCTTTGGTTATGCTATCTGTGGGCATAATGGAGATTGAAGTCTAAAGCAGGGGTCTCCAACCTTGGCAACTAAGCCTGGAGGACTTCAACTCCCAGAATTCCCCAGCCAGCTTTGCCCCTCCAGGCTTAAAGTTGTCAAGGTTGGAGACCCCTGGTCTAAAGCATCCACAAGCAAAACAGATTGGGGATCAATATGGGGCCTGTTCTTATCCCACATTAGTTTTCCTCAGAAATACGTCTCTGTTCAGTGAAATAAGGCCTTACCACTTCCAAAGCCCATAGTCTGTTTCCTAAGAAACAATCCTTGATGTTTCTTCCTGTAGTTACTTGTCTCAGACCATAAGCTGCAACCTTTTTGATTAGAGCCATGGTGGCACAGTGATTAGAAGGCAGTATTGCAGGCTAATTCTGCTGAATGCTGATTGCCAGCGGTTCGAATCTCACTGGCTCAAGATTGACTCAGACTTCCATCCTTCCGAGGTCGGTAAAACGAGGACCCAGATTGTTGGGGGCAATAGGATGACTCTGTAAACTGCTTAGAGAGGGCTGTAAAGTACTGTGAAGCGACATATAAGTCTAAGTGATGTTGCTATTGAGCCTTAATGGATTCACAGTGAATGACCCATATCACCCTGGTGATATGTATGTTGCCAGAATGAGAGGGTGGGTAGTAGTGAAGGATAACCCAATTAACATTTCATTTTACTGCTGTTCCAAATTTATTTTTGTCATGCCTTTATTATTTTTATAAATAACTCAAAAGCAGCGAATGTACCTACTACTACTTCCTCCTCCTATTTTCCTCACAACAACAACCCTGTTAAGGTGAGTTGGGCTGATGGAGAGCGACTGGTCCAGAGTTACTCAACCGGTTTTTCCTGCCTAAGACTGGACAAGAACTTGCAGGCTCCTAGTATCTAAGCTAGCACTTAACCACTAGACTGAACTGGCTCCCAATTTGCATTCTCAAGCAGAATGGAGATTTGTGCTTCAGGGAAATCTGTAAGGTGAACTTAATGTGCAAATCTTAATTCCTTAGCAATCATGGAAATATTTGTATATCTCTGCAGCACTCTTAAATTTTTCATAGCACCTGAAGTCACCTATAACAAAAGCAGGAAGGCATAGGAGGCAGTTAATGTTTTACAAAATGATAAATATTCATTACATCAAGATCCTCATCCCACCAGTAAAATATGAGACTTACCGTGAACCTCGGATATGCTTGTGGATGTATTCTGCATGAAAACGGGGTACCAATGGATCTTTCTCACCATGTATAATTAGTGTTGGGCATTTAATATGAGGCAGCAGTCGCTGACAGATATCACCTGTGGGGGAACAAAATGAAGTAAAAGACAAATGATCAGATATCTACAAGGAGTATAAATCCTTCCATTCCCCACCATACAGTGAGAGCTGAAGAAGCTTCATGGATGAATGTCTTCAAAGAAAAACCAAGTCTGATTGCCACTCGAAAAAGCATCTTTGGGGCAACCATGACCTGGATGACTGAGAATCTCCATAGGCATTATACTAAAATGAATCTTTTTATTTAGAACAGGCAAAAAAGTAAAAACAATATATTTCCCGGTTGCAAAACAGCTGTATTTCTAGAAAATTAACATCATTGATGAGCAATTCAGAAAAAAGAGCAGTTGGCCAAGAACAACATGTTGCATTGTATTAATCACAGCTGCAACATTTTTTTTTGTTCTTTCCAGATTCCCTCCCAATAATGAACACTCCAGTTAATCAAATGCAGATAGTTAAATGAGAGAGCCCATTCAGTTTAATGCAATGGTATTTTATATCAGTAGGGTGATCCTAATTTTTCTTCATCTTTTTTTTTTTTTTTTTGCTGTCTAGTTAATGCAAACAAAATGCAGTTGATACAGACGTGACACTGCCTCTCCTCCATATAATGACAAATCATATTTATGAGTTTTTCCAATGAAAACATAGTTGATTTTCATGGAAACTGAAGGTTATTTTGCTTTTGGGGTGATTCAATGTAGTTTTTTTTAAAAGTAAGCTACATTCAACTGACAAAGTAACCAAACTCTGTGACCAGTATAAATATAAATTGCAAAATAAAATAAAAAAATTCCAAGTAAACTACCAGTGTTTCATTTTGTGTATCTTGTTTCATTGTTTCTATATGACAGGGTTGTCAAACTTGCGGCCCAGAGGCATCATGCACTGGCTACGCCTGCACCCAGTTTAGCGAAGGGGAAAAAAGTCACGATACATGTGACAACAACATGACTCCACGAATTTCACACCCCTGCTATATGAGAAGGGAAAATGAACAATGCTCGATTTCTTTGTCCTTAAATGTAGTCTGCACAATTAAAAATTACACTTGTAACATGGTTCAGAAAATTGCTATATCCCTCCCATCTCCAAATATATCTAGAAGATTAAATCTTGATGCTCTTTCTTCATACATGGAACAACAATGTTCCTATACATGTCCTGGTCTAAGCACAGGCACAGAAAGAAATACCTACACAAGAGAAATTTCATGGGTTTTTGAAACAAGACAACTGTGCTATGACCATAATGAAAAGTCTGTTAGGTAAATCTAAAGATTTCATCTGAACTTTGAAATTCACAGATTTCACATTTTAGGCAGAACTACCATTCTAAAAGGGTCTTGTTGGGCATATATGAAAACGAAATTATTTCTTAAATTTGTTTGCCGCCCTCCTTCGAAGTGACTCTGTGAATCACCAAAACGTTAAACAGAGGGTAGTAATTATGACTGCTGGGTTCATTTCCCAGTCTAGATGCTAATTCGGTATCTTTCCCCTAATTTAACCTTTCTATCAGTAGCCATTTGAATCTCATCTTGTGGGGTGATCACAGCTCCTTGGCACAAAAGGTGATCCAGGGTGACACCCTGGGGAAGCCCTGCTGCAGCAGCCATGGAGACGGCCAAGCGATAATCGTTGTGCCAAGCTGCAAGCTGGGAGGATGTCAGGAGCATCGAAGCCATTGTTTGCCATTCAGAAAAGAGAATATTATGGTTGTTAGAGATATTCTCCAGCATGGCACGCACATAGGGTGACTTTAGACCGTAGTTGGTGGTGGCAGATTTAAGATCTTTCATAAGATTCCATTCCATGGGGGCATACTGAGCAACTGGATTGCCTCCTGCCGCTGGGACTTGAAGGATCATGGGGAAGCAAGAAAGATCTTCAGCATTAATCTTCCCATTAGCTAAAGCTTCCTGAAAGGTGTTACGAAGCAAGGGGGGAGGGGTATTAGAGGGGATGGAGTCAGGTTTTGTAAGGGAAGATTTTGAGGCTGAAAGGC